TCCCTTTTCGTCCTCCTTTTTCTTTCTCCTTTTTCCTCTCTGTAAACTAGCACCACCTTCGAGATGGTGGAGGAAGGCGATGGAGGTTTTTCTTATTTCTTTCCCCGTTCTTCTTTTTCTCTCTCTCTCTCTCTCTCTCTCTCTCTCTCTATATTTATGGTTTAGGATTTTCTTTGTATGAAATGAAAATGGATTCCATGTAGTGCTACTCAGTGTTCCACTAAGTCCAAATTGTAATCATGTCCCTCATTTTTTATTCTATTACATTTAGTAATGAACTCTCATAATTGAAAACTAAATTCCGAAATTCTATTTTATTCTTCTTAACCCATTCAATACTCATTTCCTTCTTGATGAATAATAGATTTTGGTCTATTTAAAATGATATCTTGGGTTAGTAAAAAAAATATTGAAGCTTGAAAGACGTAGCCGAGTACCTTTGTTCGAAATTTGGATTCTTTTTAACCATGTTCCTATATTCTATATTTTAGAAAATAAGAGATCCGACACTTAGATATGAACTCATAACCAAGTCTGAGCATCATTGAAAATAAGTACATGATTAACAAGAAAGTAGATCCTTCCTTGTGATTTAATGCTCTCGTGATTTGCTATCTTCTGAATCTTGCATAGGATGGGATGGGTTGGTAATTGATTTGTATGTTCGGTGCTCTCATGATCTGCTACCTTTTCTATTGATGTAATTTATATATATGATTGAATAGATCTGTTGTCTTAACTATGCACTGCGATTCTAGTCATCATTTTATAGTTTCATGAGAAATGCTTCCTAATTGAGTGGTTTCTTTGTAGATATATTTTCTTTTAGTTTATAGTTAGTACACAAATGATCATTCATCGCTTTTTTTTCTTTCTGTTTCCCATGCAAGGACTTGCTTCCCTTTCTCTAATTGTCTGACCATGGTGCAAGTGTCCCTTGCTTCACTTTTAAGAGTTTATTCACTTTGCTCTATTTGCATTGTTCTATGTTTCTGTCCTATCTGCTTGATTGCCATGTATCTTTTGTTGTTTGGCTCATTATTCTACTTTCAAAACTTATACAGGTTGGGACTCCAATATGTGTTCCCCAAAAGGATTTTATTGACATTGGTCGGATTGCTTCAGTGGAGAATAACCACAAGCCTGTGGACTATGCCAAGAAAGGACAAAAAGTCGCTATTAAGGTATGATGATGTTTTCCTATGCTTGATCTTTGGTGCTTCTTTTGCATAAGATTTTGATTCTTAAATGCTGAAGTACTATTAGGGGACTGTTGAAATGTGTTTGTACAGAGAGAGAGAGAGAGATTTTTGGCAGTGAAAATAGAGAGAGCAGAAGTCAGGAAAGCAGTATGAAATTTAGCAGAGGAAAAGGTTGCTGAGGCGGATTAACAAGATAGCCCATTTATATTGTATTTTCAACCTTGTGAGGCCTTTTCCAGAGAAATTAGAGAATCACGATGCATCTTCCAAAGATGTGAATGTGGAAAATATTTTTGGATATCCTGGACATGACTTTTAAAGCTTCCTAAAGACCAAATGGCCAAAGATGTGAATGTGGAAAAATATTTTTGGATACCCTGGACATAACTTTTCAAGCTTCCTAAGACCAAATGGCCAAAATTTGGAGCAGAATTCATAAACTGTAGTCTATGAAAACATTAAAATAATGATGCACAAACAAATGAATCCTGTTGGAAGCTTTGAGAAAACAGAAGGAAAACTTATTGGAGACTGAGAGAAGTAAACTGAGGATATGGTTAAGTATAATTATATACTGGTTTTATGTTCATTTGCTTTTCACAATGTTGATCTAGAGAATAGCTGCTGGTCTTAAGCAGTTGTAGATGGTTGCATTCAATATAAGTTATTAGTATGTGTACCAGTAGTTTTTCATTCTACCGCATAATCCCACTTTTGCGATTTCCCTCCTTTTTAGCCCGAAAGAAAAAAATTTCCTGCTTATCTTTTTCTATTCACAGTTGAATGGATATAAGTGAAAAGGTTTATAGAAACAGGATAGTTTTTATGTCTTGCATAAACTATCGTTGTCCACTCAAATCAACGAATTCAATTTGATGGCAATGGGTATTGTTACAACTGATTTATTTCCTTGGGCAAGGTTAATCTTCGAGCTCCTAGGATAATATCCTTGTGATGTGCATATGGCAACGGAAAGTTTCCATTCTATTTCTCCTCCATGCATACATGATTACAATTTTGGTTGCTGCCAACTTTATAATACACCTGCTCCAGCATTATTTGGTCCTTGCCTCAAGTTTTATGCTTCATTTTACTTGGGGCCTGTTTGATTCGGTGGGTTTTCCATGGAATTTTTTCCATTTTTCACCTTTTTAGCCGTCTGATTGCTTAGATTTTCCCGGCAATTTGTTTTCCTCCCCCCACTCTCATGTGACCCACTTTCCTTAAAATTATGGAAAACCAATTCCCATGGTTTTGGTTGGGATTCCAGGTGGAAAATTATGCTAATCATATACATTTAATTGGCAATTCTCAGTAAAACAAGTACTAAGCAATTCAATTTCTTGGAATTCGTCTTTCCATTTAAGTTTCATTCTTCCAATCAAACGGACCCTTAGATTCTTGGATGTGCAGTCTTCCACTTTTACCAGGTCCATTCTATCACATGCTTAGTATTTTGAACCCCAACTTTTTTGTGTATTCTCAGATAGTTGGCAGCAGTTCCGATGAACAGCAGAAGATGTTTGGCAGGCATTTTGAGATCGAAGACGAGCTTGTCAGCCGAATTTCTAGGACATCAATTGATGTCCTTAAAGCTAATTATCGGGTATGGAAATCATCTTGGGTTTTCTTCGTATGCAAGGAGAATAGCATGTTTTTCTGCTCTAGGTTGATTTTAAGTGTAGATTTGCTGATTCATGATTTTATACAGGATGACCTGTCTAATGAAGAATGGAGACTCTTGGTCAAATTAAAAAACCTTTTCAAGATTCAATAACTTATGATAACAGCATTCGAGCTGACAGACAGGATGAAAGGGCACAGAGTCGAAGGGAGAAGCTTGGACAGGAGAGCATAATAAGGCGAAAGTGATTCGTGGGATGTGGTAATGGCGAAATTTAGTCATGATTTACTATTTTCGCCACCAATTGGGATGGTTACAAGTTGCCTTCTGTACCCCACTACGGTTTTGTTGCTTGTTTCTTCTGCTGTGAGATTGGCAGGTATGGTATAGAGGAAAATAATTATGAAGATGACTGTATGATGGTCGACTGTTTGATGAATATATAGACGATCGTAAAGTTTTGTAAGATTGGTTTTCAGTACTCGTCGGTCTCTATGTCGACGCGATGAAATAATGTTTTAATTTTATAATTCTGTCAGTATGTTTCCCCTGAATGGTCAATCCATTGAATGATAAGAAGAGACTATGGCTTTCGAGGCTGACTGGCATAGAGTTCCCCTTCAATACTTATAAGAGCATTTTTTTTTTCTTTATTTAAGTTGAAGGGCAATTCTGCCTCTCTAGAAATTTTGAATAAAACCGTTAATTAAAGGTTTTTCTAAATTTATTTTTCTCCAAAATTATTTTCAATAAAATACTTTATAGAATTTTATTTATTATTATTTTTTTTTGTTCACCTTTTAACTACATTCTTTAAAAAAACCCGCTTCAAACAAGTTTCTAATGAGGACAAATTACGTTACTTAATTAAAAATTAAGTGAAAATTTACTATTGTAACTTATTACTCAATGTTTGTAAAACCATAAGCAACCCCTTGTCAAAATTTGAGGTTAGTTTGGTATTATTTTGCACCAAATTAAAAAATCATTTTCAACTCATTATGTCAAAAGTTGTATCAAATGAATAATGTTTAATTATTTTTTTCATTCTTAATGATTTATTTATCAAAAAAAATATTTATTTATTTTGTTTACTACTACATAAATTACTAAATAAATAAATTATGTTTTGTTAATGAAATTAATAAATACATTAATAAATTTAAAAAATGTAGTTATAATTAATTAAGAATTAGAATATGTTGTGTAATAATAAAATGACACAAATACCCTTAACAAAAATTTGATTTCACATGGGCAAAAAGGACATAAATCATTTTGGTACAAATTATGGTGTTGGATTGAAGAGGGATTTCACCAAATTTTTTGTGCAAAATGGTGAATGGTGCAAGGGTTGGAGATGTCCGCAATTACAAGCAATATCAAACAAGCACTTAAAAGTGTGATAAAAATAAAAATTAAGGATACAAAATGTAACAAGAGGTAAAAGTTGGAGACGACAATTACAATTTTAACCATATATTTTCACAATTTTAAGGTTATTTATTTGTTGAAGAATGTGAGACATCTGAATATTTTCTTCTAAATCTTTTAATTTAAAATCACTATTATGAGACCTTGGTACATGGAACGTTGATACGAGATATTTTACATATCATACAATGATATTTTGGAATTAGAGTACAAGAATTTTAGTTTTGGTCTTTTTTTTTTTTTTTCACACCATACCCTTCATCATGCACCCTTTTTCGTTCCAATAATTGAAGGCAAGACATAATCCTTAAGATTTATCTATTACTAAAATACGACACTACGCATATTGAATTAAAAAAAGAAAGCCCTTGATATAACCTAATTGAATATTTTTATTGTTACGTTAGATAATATTCTTCCCACTTTCATTTTTATATAATGGGGTATCTTAATTTTGGAGCTTATTATGGACACGAAACCATGTTGTCATGTATATTCGCGATGCATGTACAAATTGTACATGAAAGCATTAGAGGGATACGAGGACAACTTAAACAAATAATTCTTAAGCACATAAAATGGTTTCTCTGCAACAAAAATGACATATTGGGAATTTAAATGTAATAAAAAAAGATTAGGGACCCATTTGTTAATAAGACTATAGTTGAGGGACCATCTGCCACCTGGACTATCTAATCCGATTAAAGGAGGTACACTGCTCCATTCCAGTTAATGTTTCATTTCCTTTTTATTTATTTTACTAAAAATCAATTTCTGTAACAAAAATCAAAATCCAGATTGCAAATCAGATCTGATCGTTGCCTCTTCTAATTTACAGGCCACCTCTAACTCCCAGTAGCTTATTAAATTACTTGCTTTCTGTAGATCCATTGGTTTTTTCCACTAGCAAAACACACGAAAGAATGTAGCTGTCACTTGCCTCGGGTAATAATGCTTTGATCTCTCTCATTTTCTTGATGCGTTGCTATTTTTTGGTACTTTAATTCTGTGGGTCTGCCTCTTTTGTGTTCTCTTTCATGGATTCTTCATCTTCTGTGGTTTTGGTTTAAGGATGGAATATTATTATTATTATTATTATTATTATTATTTTTTTTTTTTTTATTTATGTGTGACCATTTTTAGTGATGTGGGAAGAATTTAGAATTACGTAAGTATAGTGGCGGCAGTCAACATTTTTTTAAGGAACAAATGGAATCGCTTTCATGTAGGTAGAATACCCATTTTTCTTGTTTTTCAGTTAGGTAGGACAGAATAGTGTAAATGCTGACAAAATAAGTTTAAATAATTCCAAACACTTGATGGCGAGAATTTAGAACATCTGTATATAGATTTTGACCCTTCTTACTTTCTCAAATTATATCAGCCCGTTGAAGAAGAAAAAGAAATTTTATTGGTGTTTTTAGTGAAGGGATAAGTCCCACGTCGAGTAAGCATAAAATTATAAACCATCATAATAAGGGTTGATCTTTAAGGAAAGGATCCCCAAGCCTTAATAGGTTTATTGGTTAGACTTTAATCAAGCAAGCATATGGCTTATTTATGTGAAATAGTATAAACACTCATTTGTCCTTGGTATGGTCATAATAAATGATGATTGGGTTATCAATGATGACAAACATAACCTACACGGAAAAGGTAAACATAAATTTTGGATCCCTTTTTCGCTGGATAGCACTTTTATTTTTCAGCAAGTCTTGTCCAAATGTATGTACTGTTAGCTTTTGTTTTAGGGGCCATTGCATTATGGATTGCTTATATATACTGTTGACTTTCTTCTTTAGTCATGGAGCCATTAAACTGGATATTAACTTTGAATTTTGGTGCTTGTATGTTTAAGAAGGAAATGAAAGCACCAGAAACTTGCAGAAAAGTTGCAAGGCACGCTTGGTTGTAAATATAAGTGGGTGGATAGTACACCACGAAAGGAAACAAAACGAGAATCCCTATTCCATACTTGACATTCTGCACTCCACACTGATCAATGGGGTCCGAGCAGAATCAATTTCCACAACTACCAGCTCCTCGGGTATTTTGATTTCTTACTCATTCACCATCTATTCAAGTTGGCGTGCTCATGTACTTGAACAGTTGAATGGAATTGACCCTCTGGAGTCATTATACTTTATATCTTTCTTGATGGTCCCTAACTTGTTACTGGGCCTGAATTTAAGGATGCTCAATTTTCTGACTAGCTTGAAAAATGGGTATGATGGAAGTAAACTTGTCATAACATAGAAGAGCAATGTATTTTGATTGTCTATGCCATCAATTAACTTTTGGAGTGTAAATTTAAGATTTAATGATTTACAAACTGACTTCGTGGTCAAAGCATAACAGAGCAAGCGTTTCAAGAACATAACTTCAGAAAATCTCCTTCTTATAGTAGTGTTGTACTTGCCCATATAATCCTGTTGAGAGTTAAAGCATTACACTAGTCCACTAAATTTTACTTTGAGACAGTATAGACCTTAGGATATATTCTGATTTTGCCCAAAAATTTAATATATTTAGATTATAAGTTATTTTGTAGCATTCTCGCTCTTACTGCAAACAAATTGTGTACTTAACTCATTTTATTTTAATTTGTTAAAATTCCTTTTTTAAGCATTAGAATTTCTCTATTACATATTCAGCTGATCTAAGGTATGGAATGTCACTTGTTGTCCCTTGTTACTGTCTTTTTTCCTGGATAATTGATAAATTCATTAAGACTTTAGTTTCCTAAGATCCTATTTGCATATTTTGAGAATTTTGAGGCCATTTCACAAAATTATATGCCTGTAATTAAATTAATAAAACAGAAATTATTTGGGAGACATTTTAAATTTATTTGGACTAAATGGACTTAAATTGAATAGTTTGGAACTTTTGGTTGATGTGATTCCCATGTTAGCCATCACTTTGTAACTTGGTATACTATTAATGGGCTTTCTAAATTTGTTCTTTTCCCCTTAACTAAATCAAACTAGTTCCAGATAGTGAAGTCCGGTCAGCTTTCTCAATTTGTGCTAATAGAAATCCATCGTTAATTGGCTTCTTAAATTGTAGAGTGAAATTGATGTATCACATATTCATATTTACATATGCTCTTCACTCTATTTTGTTACTTGTTTAGGAGAATGTGTTATGTTATGAGCTGGGCTGGACTGGACCAAATTACATTTCTTATAAATGGTAATGATATCGTCTAGGTGCATTATCTATTTCTCAAGTCTTACAATTTAAATATGAAATCCATTGATCTTTGATCTTATCATTTAGACTTCATTTGCCTGAGATAAATTTTTGTCAAGAATCAAGCTATATCACATATACTTTTTGTGAACTTTGTGGCCACTTCACAAAATTATATGCATTATATAGAATATTCTAAACAAGATACCGATTATAAATTTGTTTGAATTCCAAGTCTTACTTAAATCTATTGGAACTCTTGGTTGGAAGTGATTAGGTGCGTCCCACGTACTCCTGTTCACAAAAATAAGATTTGTTTGGTCATGCGTGGTTAAAACTTTTAATACCATCTTAGCCATACATTTTAGAAACGTTTAGGTAAATTACCATAAAATACTTAATGAGTGGATTGCTTCCAACATCAAAACCTATGGAGGAGAACTCAACTCAATCCTTACCGTCTCTGTATTTAGGATTAAATATTCTGATGTTAATTTAATACCAGGTCCAAACACAATGTTTAAGTTGAGTTGTAGTCAATGCGGTTAGTATAGGCATACTATTTGAGAATGTGGTTGAATAATTGAAATTTGACCATTTTTATATTGCTGAATGAGCCTCTCATATCTGTTCAAGTGATTAGAGTTTTTATGTCATTGGAGCATCATTTTAATCGAACTTAGCATTACTTGCATAGAATCCTGTTTTGGTTGCACTTTTACTGGCCGGGGGCTCGTGCGGATTTATTTGAATGGATAGTTAATATATCCTTTCGACATTGATGTTACCGACGGTGGTGAAGTGGAAAAGGAACTGATATAATAAGAACAGTAAGAAAAATATGATAATAATGACGTAAAGGATTAGCACCACTCTGAACAAATTAGATCTAATATTCTCCTTACATGTTATGCATAGGAGTAGATGCATTTATTTGCTAATGTATCGCATGGAGTGCCCTCAAACTACGTACTAAGAGAATTGGTTACATGATATGTAAAGTGAGTGCATATCCTCATCTGTTTTATTATAACCTTGCTATTAATGAAATCCTACTTTCGTGGGTTCTTGGTGTCCTATTTTCACCTTTACTCTTTCTGGTTCAAATTCCATTTTAGTTAATTCTTTTACATTTTGTTATGAACCTTTGTTCCATGAGCATTTGAGGGCTAATGCGTTACCATTTTGATACTTGACAGGTAAAGAGATGGGGATGCTGTTGGGGTGGAATGTCTTGTTTTGGCAAACAAAAAGGTGGAAAACGTATTGTACCTGCATCTCGCAGTCCAGAGGCCAATTCTTTATCAAATCAGCCAGATGGACATCTGGCTGGTGGATTGCCTAATCAGTCTACATCTATTTTAGCCCCACCATCTTCACCTGTGTCCTTCTCGAATTCTGCACTCCCTTCAACAACTCAGTCACCCAATTGTTACTTGTCAGCCAATTCGCCAGGAGGTCCTTCATCTACTATGTTCGTCACAGGTCCATATGCCCATGAGACACAACTCGTATCTCCTCCCGTATTCTCGACTTTCACAACTGAACCATCTACAGCTCCTCTAACTCCCCCACCCGAGTTGGCACATATCACTACTCCCTCTTCACCAGATGTGCCTTATGCTCGATTCCTTTCATCTTCTGCCAATCTTAAAGCCACTGATAAAGACAGACAGATTAATGCCAATGATCTTCAAATGAATTATTCACTTTATCCTGAAAGTCCCGCTAGCAGTCTCAGATCACCTGTTTCAAGAACATCTGGTGATGGCCTATCATCATCTTTTCGTGAAAGGGAGATTCCTCTGCTATGGGATACTTCGATTCTTTCACAAGAGACTGCATGCACAAAATCTGAGTCGGGCAGGTTACTTGGGCTTCAACCAGTTGGTGTCTCCACATTGCGACAAGATTCCAATTTTTTCTGCCCAGAAACATTTGCTCAATTCTACTTGGACCACTCTACATTTTCTCATTCTGGTGGTAGGCTGAGTATTTCCAGGGAATCAGATGCATATTCAAGTTATGGAAATGGGCATCAGAATAGGCAGAATAAAACTTGCAAACCAGATGTTGAGGAAATCGAAGCTTACAGAGCATCCTTTGGGTTCAGTGCTGATGAAATCATCACTACAACTCAATATGTGGAAATTTCTGATATCACAGATGATTCCTTTAGCATGACACCTTGTACTTCTAATCAGCCGCATGAAGGGGAACATATCATAACTGCCCCAACAGTCGAAAATCCACTAGCAAAGAAGACACATGAAGATTTTCCAAGCCCACAGTTTGGTAAAGCGAAACAGAATCATGATGAGGGGGCACACTTTGGTATGCCTGGTTCATGCAATGGTTTCGAAGGTTAACTATTTCACTCACAGTACCTGAGCTAAGTGCCTGATTTTAAAGTTTAAACTAATAAGAATAAGTGAACTCCTAACGTAATTTAATTGAAGTGCCTGTACCTATCATTTTGTTAGATCTTCTAGCTTCTGCTTTCTCCTGTGTAGTGCCTGCCCTAAAAATTACATTATATTCAATATACTAGTGTATTCAATGCTGGCGGTACAGTTTTGATATTTATTTGGGTCCTATCAATCCCATTTTGATTAAAGTTTATTATTTGCTGGTGTTCATAGGCTCTATCATGCATTCATGATTGAATCTGTATTACCAGATCGAATGTAGTTTATGATAACATTTTTTTCTCACCTTTTTTACTTTTACATCTCAGTTCATGTTCCACACAGTCGATTTGGAGATGGTTCTGCAAGAAACGATCCTGATAACTACAGTGTGAGTGATAATGATGACTTATTCCATAACGTGGAAGCTTCCAGAATCAGCCAGAAACATCATTTGTGCTCTTCAAATTCTGATACAGAAATCGAGTATAGGAGAGGACGAAGCATGAGAGGAGGACGAAGCTTAAGACAATGCTAAGGTTACTTTTCATGGCACGACTTTCTCATGAACTCTTGTATGTATTTAAGCTTTCGTGTCCAGGGTTCTGTGACAAATAATCTGACATTTGCTCCAAGCCTTCCTTTTTTGCGAATTTGCACATCTGTCGGGATTGTAAACTTACTATCCCAACAGTACCATTGGTGGCTGTCCAGGGTAAAAGTATCAAATGATACAATTTGGTATCTTTGTATATGTTTTGAATCTTCTATTCAAAATGCTAGCTTAAATCCTTGTTTTGATTATACATACATACATACATACATACATATATATATATATATAGAGAGAGAGAGAGAGAGAGAGAGAGAGCTACTTTATTTAAAAACTTAACGTTGATATGGGATTTAAGAAATCTAAAAATAACATGCAATGCATATTGACTAATACATCTTGTTATGAAGAGGAAAATAATAAAAAAAGAAGACTTGAGCCATCAAATTTCATTGTCAAATAAAGTTATATTGAAAATATGCTCTTTACAGTAATGAATATTGTAGAAGTAGTTGATATTGCCACTTCTTTCTTTGGTTCCACTTAAAATACATGAAACTAAATTGCATCTAGTTATTTTCCAGTAAAATTGGTTCATTGAATGTATGGATACACATGTCAACTGATTAAATCAAATCTGTAAATGGTAGAATTGGAATGATCTAGCTATAGCTTAGATTAATGGGCAATCAAATTAATGAATACCCAACATTTGCGTATTGTTTTATTTATGTTTCTACCTTTTTCTTGTGGCATTCCTATCATCAACCTTCCATTAATTAGCATATCTTATCTTTGATGACAAAGCACGCTAAAAGAATAATTGGAGAAACACTGTTATTAGAGTAATGTTATTCAGCACTATTAGTGTTAATTACTATTTTAGATGGCAATTGTATGAGATTAAATGATATATTCATTTAAATACAACATTACACGATTCATTTAATTGAATCTATTATGTGCGGTCACCTAATTTAGTGCTCTAGCACCAAGAATACTATATAGCGCTATTAAATTATTATCATCACATTGGGACTTGTAACATTGTAACATTTTAAACTTTAAACAATGCTATTTGTCATTATGAGAAATTTCGTACATGTTTCCTTAAGGATTCTAGATTATTATATAGGATTTTCACTAATGGGTACTGAACTTTCACATGTTTTTGACTCATCACTGAACTTTATAAAATATTTCATTTAAGTCAATTCAAATTTAACATCTATTTTTTAATTGAATATTCTTCGTTTTCATGTGCCAACTTGCAGGATTTAACTGAAAACACTAATAGTTTGATGACTTTGCACACAAACACAAAAAAACTAAATGTCGAATTAAAGAAGTGGTCTGAACGAAATATTTTATAAAGTTTAGTGAGGAGTTCGAAACAAATTAAAATTCAGTGACCAAGGTAATAGTAAGTACAAAGTTCAGTGACCATCAATGAAATTCCCTTATTTAACAATGATAAACTTCCTCTTTTTTCAAATTTAAAATATGTATAAAGTTCATCTTCAACCGCGATTTATGCTACTGGCTAGCTTTCCCCATTCATAGCAAGTGTATTCTAGATCATACTCTGCAGTCGACCCAAACTGAATTTATAAAATCACACAACCCATTTTTGATTTTTTCTGTAGATTCAGTGTTTGAGCTTCAGTAACTGAAGCTGAATTCTCTTATTTGATCGTTTTGAGATTTTGTATTTCTTAAGATTTTTGTTAAACGGGAAATAGGAATATGTCTAACAACTATTATGATAATTGGGAGAGACTCGTGGAAGTTGTACTTCGAAGAGAAAGAGACCGAGAAGTTGCTTTAGCTGATTCGAGGGAATCAAGTTTCAGATCCACATCCTCTAGATCCAGATTCAGGCCCAGTTCTTCATTTCATGAGCAGAATTCTTTAGGTGACTCGAATAAATTAAGTTTCAGATCCATATCCTCTAGTTCCAGATTCAGGCCCGATTCTTCAGTTCGTGAGCAGAATCCTCAGCTTGAAGCTTATAATTCCAATAATGTAAATTTGCTTGGAGACAAAATGGTAATCTGTTTGATAATTCTTTGTTCTTTGTGAAGCTTCTTACTTATAGATGAATCTGTCAGCTATATGATCAAATAACGAAATTTTAAGATGGACTCATGAAGTCATTATGGTTTAGAAAACTTTCCAATTTTAGAACGATCACTTTCTGTTGCACATGCCTGCAGCTTTCCTGGGTTCGAGTGGGTATGCACAAGTGGTTCAACGTCACCACCAACAATCTCGATTACTCCGCTGACATAGACTCGGACTCCGACTCCGACTCGGACTCCGACTCCAATCCAGGTCCACTTCCGTAGACCTTGATCCTTCTTTATTTCTCACTTGACATTTAACATATTTAGTACATAGCATTGGACACACCGAATGTTATACTTAATAGAATTTCAATGTGTAATAATATTTAATCCACACGGCCAAAAATTGGAATAACGAATTATTTCTGCCTTCAAAGTTTTTAGTTTCTCCTTTTGGCTATAGCAGAATATTGTCAATGGCGAGGAGATTCACGGTTTAAGAACGATTGAAATGATGGAGTTCAGGTTGATGACTATGGTAGTATGCTTTTTTCGAAGTTCAGGGTTTAGATTTTCCCGTCAACTTTATTAAGATCTGTGTTACTGATGCAGTTTTGATAAACTTTTTCATTTCATTTTTTTTTGTGGGGGGTTGGGGGGAATTGAAATTGAGAGGTGCTACAAGTACGGGGCTCTGTTTTATAGACCCCTGCCAGAACACACACACGCATGGGTCATGGTGTTTTTTTTTCTTCTAGTTTTTTGGTTGAATCACCCTACTGTGCCGGAAGAAATTTTGCCAACCTCCCTGACCGATTCTCACATAGGGAGTGGGCCCACCTTTTTTTTTTTTTTGGCATTTTTTTATTTTTGCGGGCTCCATGCATTATGAGGATCTGTCAAACAAGTGGGTAGAAATCTTCTGGCAAATGAGTTTTATCCTTTTTGGTTAGAAATTTGTCTTAGACACTTGGGCCCCATTAGGTTTACATTTCAGTTTTCTGTTTCGAGAGTCATTGCAAAAAATTCATTTGATTTAACATCTTGAAAAATTGTTTTTCAAAATAGAAAACTGGAATATACGTTTTGTTTAAAATTTTTAGAAATTGTTTTATGACATTTTATTCAAATAACTTTGATTATTCAATAAAATTGAACAAAATTTATGCTAAAATATTATCAAGTAATATATACATTTTAAGTGTTTGATTTTGTCATTGGAAGGAGGAATTTGATTGCTTTTATTCTCATGTTTTAAATATGTCGAAAATATGTTGAGTTTTATGTTAAAAATTTAGCCCCTGTTTGTTTCCCATTAATTCTTCATTAAAATGAAAAATATGACTGTTATTGATCACATCAAACAACCAAATTCGAATTTCTATCTCTTGTGTGTGATCCATAACGACTATATTTTTCATTCTCATTTTTACAAAAATAGGAAACAAACGCCCCCTTAATTTTATTTTAAGCTCCTGTTTGATCCCCCATTTTTATAAGAATGCATTTTTTTACTTTTCATTTTCAATCACACATTCTTCTATAAAATAATAATACACGTATTTCAAAAAAAAATTCTTACTTTTTAACCACACATTCTCCACAAAATCACTATTTCATAATACATTTTCCCCCAAAAATGGGGATCAAACAGGGGCTAAAAAATGTATTTTTCAAAATTACCAAACCAATCAAGTTTTAGATGTTTTACAAAATTGAAAAAAATTTGAGAACAGAAATCCAAGCGCCCCTCACCTTTTCGGGTTGTGGGAATTTTTAACATTATATTATCGTGCATTTGAAATGGTTAATTAACTTTGGCCCTCGTTATATAAATAAAGAACTAAAGGTTTGGTGCATCTTGTTGAAAGGATTGTGTTTCATTTATCTAATTGAAGGATCTTTTAGCATTGTGGATGCACATTTTAAAATACAAATTTCAATTTCTGATGGAACTCTGCACTTGGAAGTAAAAGTAGAAAAAGGAATAAATATAGTGATAATTTGATTTTTCATCACCGAAATGATGATTCATTCGAATTGACATGAGAGTCGTACTACATTGCATAGACAGAGGATGCAAGTGTTATCTGAAATGATTGGGCGATACAACAATCTATTAGATCGTGTCCTTAGACATCGTAATGCAATCATATCTCATCTCAACTGAGCACGCTTGTTCCTGAAAATATTTTCTCATTTAGGTGTCGTAAAAAATTAAGAATTTCAATTGTTAGAATAAATAGGTCTTCAAATTGTGTGGTGACCACTGAATAATTTTCTTCAGCTTGAGTTGGGTTAAAAGCGTGGGGAGCACTTTACCACTGAACTAATGGCCCATCGTACGAGCCTCCCACTGAGGGCCCACTATGCCAAAAGCGAATCTCCACGCTTTTTAGCATGAGATTTTGAGTCTTGCGTGTCTACCATTTCACCACCAAAATCGTGCATGAGACTTTCATCTCACACGGCTCCTAAGTAATAAAAGAAAGAACTTGCTTGGCCTGTGAGGGTTCTCAGCCACATAGATAGTTCAATGTGCTCATCGGCGTTGACCACCCGATTATTGCAATTGCTTAGGATACCCTTTTTTAGCTTTTCTATGGGGGGTATTGTTCATCTACATCTATTCCAGTGAGCCGTCTATCGAATTATATGTATTCAATTTCACCAAAGAAAAATGACCCACGATTCACGGCAATTAGGAATAGAATCTACATCAATGAAAGGTCTAAATAGTGGAATAAAGGTCTCCATTGCTATTTGATCAAGTGTCGTTAGTTAGAGTTAATTGAATCAATGCAATACAGCGCCAAGTGCTCCGTGACAAAGTTCATGCTCCTTAGGCCGTTTTCTACTAGGCTTATAGTGTATAATTAACCTTTCCTTTGAATTCTTAAATGCGATTATTACCTATGTACTTTTGAATTCCAGAGGTTCTACCTAGGATAAGGAGAAAGTCGGAGACATCTAGGACTCGATATATAAACACAAAGGAAATCAGGTAGAATTTTCTTGCCATTTTGATGATATAATGCTAAAGCTAATTTACTAATGCAAGCATCATTATATTATTATGTCGAGTTAGTGGATTAGCCTTATTCTTTCTATTATGTCTTTGTCGTTTGCTAGAATATGCGCGAGCACATGGAATGTTGGAGGAAGAGTTCCTCCAGATGACCTAGATCTAGACGGATGGTTAGATGTTGATGACCCTGCTCATGTATATGTAATTGGGTAAGTCAATCTCTGTATCTTCTTGCTTGTAATCTACATTAGATCAGTCTCCAAGTTCATTTGTTTCACTTACGTCAGTTTCCACAGTTAATTATATTGCCCATCTATTTCTATCATGGCCACCTACTAAAATTAGGTAACTTGCATATGAATTGATCTTGGAATAGTCCTTAACGATCAAAGTCAAGTCATGAACCCGTATTAATGAAGCAAATTAAATGAAATAAAATTTTTGATCTTGATATGTTGAATTCCCTACACGTTTTATGTGTAGATCCTCTTTTTAATAGCCAAATTTCCACTAAATATTTATTATGTGGCTACAAAATCCTTGGTGCTTCTTTTGATGAGTGCATCATATACACAGCCTTCAGGATATTATACCATTAAATGCTGGTAATATATTTGGTGCTGAAGACCGGCGCCGAGTTTCAATATGGGAAAACAGAATTCGTAGAACTCTGAAAAAAATTCTGCCGGCCACTAAATTCAGATGCTACAATGATCCTCCTCCTCCATCAAGGTTTAAGACATCTGAAGATGCCCCATACATAGATGAAAGCTCACAGACTGACAGTGACATTGAAGAAGAAATCTGCCCACTAAATGAAGAATTGAACTTTGTTAATGAAGAAAATGTCGTTGATCTCGATGCTTCTGTTTCCATTGACAAACACAACTTGGGAATTTCAGTTGACAAGGAGTTGCAGCGCCAATTTTATTCTCCAATTACGCTGGACAGATCGAACCGCATCAGGGCAGAGGATTCTGTAGAAAATGTAGCATTGCCAAGAACCCAGTACATCAATAAATTACCCAGAAAGCTAAGTGGGACAGAACGCATTGGTTTAAGCTTGCCAGAGCCACCTCTACATCTTTTGGGTCAGCATGTTTTTGAGAGAACTAATTCCTTCAAATCTTTCAAAGCTTACAAATCTTTCAGGACATATAGTTCTTTCGAGTCAAACATGGCCTCACTTGCCAAGTTTGACCTCAAAAGCCCGAAAAACCGGAAAAAAAGGTCAACTTACGTTAAAATAGTAAGCAAGCAAATGGTTGGAATTTTCCTTACCATCTGGGTTCGCAGAAGCATGCGAAAGCTGATACAGAACTTAAATGTGTCTTCTGTTGGTGTTGGTGCCATGAGCTATATAGGCAACAAGGTTAGTTCCTTTTTATAATTGTAGCTTGGAGTTATAATAGTACTTCTGGATGCTCTTATTACTTATTACTTTTCAATGTTATAATAAATAGATTGGGAATCAATCTTGTTAGCCACTATTAACTAACCCTCTATGCTGTCATATACTTCAGGTAGTTATTTTTTTTGGCAGTGAAAGGATATATTTTCGTATATGAGCAGTGTAACAATTGTTAGAATAAATAGGTCTTCAAATTGTGTGGTGACCACTGAATAATTTTCTTCAGCTTGAGTTGGGTTAAAAGCGTGGGGCGCACTTTACCACTGAGCTAATGGCCTATCGTACGAGCCTCCCACTGGGGGCCCACTATGCCAAAAGCGAATCTCCACGCTTTTTAGCATGAGATTTTGAGTCTTGCGTGTCTACCATTTCACCACCAAAATCGTGCATGAGACTTTCATCTCACACGGTATTTTCCTTACCATCTGGGTTCGCAGAAGCATGCGAAAGCTGATACAGAACTTAAATGTGTCTTCTGTTGGTGTTGGTGCCATGAGCTATATAGGCAACAAGGTTAGTTCCTTTTTATAATTGTAGCTTGGAGTTATAATAGTACTTCTGGATGCTCTTATTACTTATTACTTTTCAATGTTATAATAAATAGATTGGGAATCAATCTTGTTAGCCACTATTAACTAACCCTCTATGCTGTCATATACTTCAGGTAGTTATTTTTTTTGGCAGTGAAAGGATATATTTTCGTATATGAGCAGTGTAACCATATTTCATATTTGTGCTCAGAAATTTATTTCAAATGTAAATCTACACACATATCTAGGATGAGAATATGTATTTCAGACTCGAGATTCTACATTTGAATTGAGGATGATAATAAACGAAAAGCTGAAAGTCGTAGTCAAACTTTCTTCTACAACCAGGATTCCCAGTCCGACTGCTTGTATGGTCTTATTCATGTTTTATTGTTCTTCCCTCATCATTCAATTGTTTGAGCTGGCTGAGCAAATGACCTAGGGAGAGGGAAGTATAAAAGACGATTAGAAGTGTTAAGGTGACTGTTTATGAAGGTATCCATCTCAAAAGTTAATTTTCAGGAGTTTTTCGCAGCCAGACAAACAATCTAGGGAGAAAGAAATATTAAAGACGATGAGAAGTGTCTATCTCTACAAGACTAAGGTTACTGTTTGTGAACATGTCCATCCTTTAGAAGTTAATCCTCAGATCAGCACTATAGGTCTTGGAGATTTTCCCGAAACCTTTAATGCTTCCAGAATATAAAGTTCTTGTATTAATAAATAAGACTCTTGATTTCTAGTTATGTATTGAACACATATTTGATGACTGATCGACATAATTTCTGCTTTGACGATTTCCTCGTCACCCTGTAAAGGCCTCTTAATTGTTTGCTTTATTGTGGGTGATGACGAGTATTTTTTCTATTTAGAACCACGATATTGTTGCTTTAAATAGAATGCTAAGTAGACAGAAGTCACAAAACTGGCATAACGTGTTCTCCCGTTTAGCTTAGCTAAGCTTTCCCCATAATATGTTTTGATGAGATAATAATTCTATTTTTGATGTAAAACGAGCAAACAATCTCTCTACACCAACATTTTTGAATCTTATCGTTTTAG